ATAAACTGCAGAAAGTATAATAAACTTTTGAAACTAATCAACATTAGCAGTTGTGCTGTAGGGTATTCCAAAGCGTAACAGAGTTCGCCTGTTTTCTAAAATCTTTGGAAATATCAGACCAAAGGATCGATGCAGTTAGGTTCATCACATTTTTGTCACCTCTTTTGACACTAATATTTGATAACTAAATAATGAGTGTTTAAACTGTAGACTCCTTTACTTGCTATATAGCTAATTTCTTCATATTGTTTTAAAGAAAAGTTCAGCAACTTGAATCGATACATATTTACACAATGTACTACATTAGAACTGTCAGGCATCCTATTTCATAATAAAAATTTATGATGAAAATGAAATGATTGCTAGCAAGTAACCAAGGTTAAGCTATAGTTCTGACATGACAGAAAACTTTTCAAGTCTGGATGCGTAACTGTATAGCAGGTGTTGGCTAGAACTAAAACCTAATTCAAAACTTCTAATGTTTGTTTTAGTATCTAAAACTTTCTTTTTATATCACCAACATTGTATCATGAATTCAAAGGAATTAATATTAGAGATTTCCCTTGAAAATAACTATATATATATATGAATGGATTTTTTGGTTCAAAGACTTAATAACTTTTCAGACTGCACGTTTAGTAGTAATTGTTGTTAGACTATGTGCAGGCACAATAGGCATTATTCAACATCTAGTTGTGTTTTTTCAAAGGTATTTTCATTCATGATTTATACTTAGTTACAGACGTGCTTTTATTATTTAGACAATGAAAACATCCATTAACAATTTTTACATGCATATTAACTCTGAAAATTCAAATACATAAAATTTTCATGTGAAATACTGTAGATATACTGAATTAAATTACAGAACACTGTAAATTGAAAGTGTATTTGGATAATACAGTTTGAAAGAAAAAAACATTTTAGGCTTATTTATGTCATATTGTTTTTGTCTTCATTGATAGATTACATACTCGATAAGTGAATACATATCCGTTTAGTTTCTCCGTTTATTAGACACTATAGTTGTAGTTTCTGACCTTAAACGAAATGCAACTGTATTTCCTGAACTACCCACCAAATGGATAATGATTAATTTTAACCTATTTCATTACACTATAATAATAATATATCTTTATTTGCAATCTCTTTTCACATTTCTCATGCTGCATTTGTTAGCTATCTACAGTGTAAAGATCAAGTAACCGAAACATTTAATCTGCTTTTTATTAATATAAGAATATTAAGGAATTAGTGGAGTAATTAGAGTGCCATTTAGATGTAATTCATGCACCCAATTTTGTACCAAACATTTTGTGCGACTGATGCAACCCTGGGTATCTGGGTTGAAATAGATGAGGAAAGATTTGAACATTTGACTTAATGGTTAAATGCCAAATGTTCTAACCGGTGTAGCATCGCCTGTCAATACATCATATTTAAATACTTTAAGGTTACAGTTTTATTTTTTTACTACACCTAAATGTAATTGTAACGGTTTTGTGAAGTTATTCAGAATTCTCTTAAGTAATAATTGTTTATGGTAACCATATTTCATGCACTTTTATGACATCATTCACAATGCTTCAAATGATTGTAATGTTAGAATATTTTATGTAACTCTCTCATTTATTCCTAAATATGATTTACGTGGCAAATAACAAAAGGCTTTTTGTTTAAATGCTGGACAAGAATATTCCCTATCAAAGAATTAGGAATATTTTTAAGTGTAATGAGGGGTTTATCTCAGTATGTGAAGCTTCAATAGTGCAGACGACTAAATAATATTATTACTATTTTCACTTACGTTGTAAATGAAATTTTTGTACAATGAAGAATATCTGATAATGCATAATATTATAACCAATATTTGAAGTACGAACCATACTTAAAGCATTCGAATAGTATCGAGATTGACAAGTATGAAATTGAATATTTCATATGGTAGGTAGCTAACTGGATTGTTTTATATTGCACTACATTCAATATGAAATTATTTAGGCCTATGAAATATTATTATTGAGTTAGAAGTTATTTCAAACAAATTGACATTTTTTTACATTTCTTAAATTTAGTTTTATTGTTAGAGTTGAATACAAAAGATATATACTTATATCGTATACCTTAGCATTCAGTTTAGAAACTTATTTATTTGTGTTTTCAATATACACATTAGTTGTTTCTGTCATAAAGTTACTCTTTGTTTAGCCACGGAACTCACCCCTTTACTAAATAAGTACGGAAAAGTAATAAAAGCCCTGATATTTCCGGACACATGAGAAAACCGCCATCAAAATAGAATGCTTTTGATTGCTAACTTAATTACGGGTCTATACATTAAATGTATTTATCAAGGAAAGTTTATTCATTAATGTATTTGTTAGCTAAAAATGAGCTAGGCGAAAAATGAAATGGATAATTTTCCATATTAAATGGAACGTTAAATATAATCATAGTCTTCTACTTTCTGTGGACTATTCTCTTGTAATTTTTGAATTTCCAGATTAAGGAAATATCAGCACTGAGATCTGGAAAATAGATGTCTAACTCATACCTAGGTCCCAGCATCTCACTGGAACTTTGAAAGTTCCACTCAAACTCATTGTTAACCCAAGTTTATGAAGACTGTTCAGTTTATAAAACGAACAGCTTCCTGGTTTTTGATAATTGTCGAAGGTCAGATCCATATGCAAACCACAACTTGGGAAGTATCCACAAGCTTCCTATGTTAAGATACTTCGAATTGATGAGGGAAACTACATAAATGAGATTTAATGTAACCCATTGTGTCATTGTATAAAAATAGAATTCAGAAAATTTTCTTTTCGACGAAATCATTTGCTTCGGCTGACAATTATCTCCCATAATTTTGACCCGTAAATTATTTCCATCCTTCTACTCTTATCTAACCGCTTGATCCCAACGTAACTTCATTTGATAATTGGAGTCTCGAACCACTTTATGGTGCGATCTTCGCTGCCCTTATATATTTAACATACAACTATAAATACGGATGCACAGCATAAACGATTTCGTCGAATTCTCATTTCTATTGTGTGATATGCTGAGGTTTCCTGGTCCCGACATGTAAATTATGCGATAGACTGGATGTAGTTGTTCTTCATTTCATGTAGTAAATGGTATGTTATATGATAGTTCTGTGTTTGTTCTTCCTGATATGAGTTCCTCACCCGATATTTCGATACCCTATCTAGCTGCTTTTGTAGTGAATGAACACTTAAGTGGGGAAGACCAATTTATTGTTTAATGAACATTCACACAGTGGTTTAATAAAATGTGAAAATCATACGTCAAATACATCATCCGCACATCTTTCACTTCTCCTTTACATCCTCCATGATTCTTCCAATTGTTTTTGTTCCGATTCCTTTCTTCAGTTCAATCTTTTTTTGACAATCATTCCACTTCTGACTGGTGTGACGTGCTACTTATGTTCGTCAACATAAGTAGCGTGCCACACACTTTTACCACTCATTGTTGTTCAGTTGAAGTTTATATCCGATGAATATAAGTATGTTCATGTGTGGGATCGTTTAATTTTGTTGTAGCTTTTAAGGTATACCATCTTCTTAATTGTTACATGCAGGGCAGATACACATAATGCATATTTCTATTTGCAAGGTTTACATAGTTAATACTTACAATTACGTTTTTTCTTGACAACCAGATGATGCAGCAGCTTTTAAAGCTACACAAAAAGCAATTAGACTACTTCAAGTCGTATAACTACTTGGAACTAATTTTTATTTTGACTGTTGGTAGGAATATATATAAAGTTAAACAGAATACCACCAAATAATATTGGTCAAGTCAGACAGTAAATGATAGAGTTCATCCGTAAGCAATTCAAAGCTAATGAAGTTCATTTTACGTGTTAGGTATGCTTGAAATGTGCCACTAATACACCACATTTACTGACTACATGTATATGTTTTAAGCTTTAAACCACACTGTATACATGAGGGTTAGTAATAGGTTGCAAAAAATAAATTAAGTAAATAAACATTTCAAGTTCTGACTAAATGGTTAGAACTTGAATTTTTTAACCATCAAACTATTACTTGATACTGCTGTAGTGTTCTTGCATTTTTATGCAAATTGCATTCTGTTTCCATTCTTTACTGTTCGATCCTCTTGTCTTTCTGCTACCAGACATTCTGTTCACGACTAGCGTCATATACTACTTATATCGATATAAGTAGCACGCACCACACCGTTCTCCCCTTAAAGCAGTCGTTTTCGTGGTGTTTTATGCTTGCAGTGCAACATTCTTTTTTTCTGCAGTCTGTGCTACGCCCTCTATTAAAATGCCGAGTCTGCGGCGCGCTGACTTCCATAGCTCCGTCGACCTGCCGGGGCACCAACATCCGACATCCACTCGGCATCTGGGACGTTTAACGCCCGTACTTCACCGGCCTGCTGAACCATCTACATCCGATGTCCACCCAGTCGCCCCACATTCCACCGCTCCTCTCCGTCGACGGCACCCGCCACAGCCAACGCCGCCCCGCCAGAACACTCCACTAGACGCCACCTCATCGCGCCAGACTGTCCAACCAGCACCCCACCTCCAGGCCCGCAACGGCGTCCGCAGAACAGCACCCTTCTCCTCTCCTGGTTGGCAGCGACACCAAACGTAGTGAACAGAACACGATTGGGGGACAATCGAACGTATTTGACACAAAATTATAGGACTTGTTAATAAAACCTAACAATCATACAGCACAGGCTTAATTTGTAAAACGTCCATCAATTGTCTCAAAATGACTCCCACTTCATTGTTCTTGTATTCTCATACAAATCGCATTCTGTTTTCATTCTTTACTATTCGATTCTCTTGTTTTTCTGCTACCGGACATTCTGTTCACGACTAGTGTCATATACTACTTATGTTGATATAAGTAGCACACACCACACTACTGGTTAGAAATTTCACCTTATATGTTTTATTATTATTAACTATATCTAAACAACACAAAAATTTGGGAAATGTTTATTTTTAACAGAAAAATTCACATAGAATATTTTGTACATATCGCATGATAAACTGGAAAATCTTCGTTTTTGTTTTCTTTCTTTCTTAACAGTAACCAGATAGTTAGATATAAAATTCTATATTTATTATCCTGATAAAACAAAAAAATATATCTCTTTTTTTTTAAAAATACGTATTTAATTCTGTAATTATTTTATATGTCTATAAATATACAATCAATAATATAAAACTTTTATGGAGGAAAGAAGATAGATTACAAATTATGACTGATATGATCAAGAAAATAGGTCATCCATAATATGTGTGATTGTAAGCGATTAAACAAAAACAAAAACAGCAACAATAACAACAACAAGAACAACGAAAAATTTCAATCTGTGTCATCCATCTAAAATAAAGAAAATAAAAACGTAGTATAATGTATGCTCAATTAAACAATTTATTAACAAGTTAAAACATGCTAATGTACACTTCATTAAATTTTGAATATTTTTTGTTTCAATTGAAGAGAAAAGATTATAATCTACAACAATCTATTTATGAGCATTATTGTGATACGATATAAGCAATTTTGTCAATTAATGTTTAAATGATAGTTGCTATTATAATTCATTCATTGATTGTAATGTAACAAGCTGACTATTATAGAATGAATAATTAATTTATTGAAATGAATTTCTCGACACATTGCTCGGATAGTGATATTAATTTGGGAAATTAAGTATATAAACAAATCGTTATAGTGGATGATGACAAATAACTATGTGATTGTGAGTTAAAAATATTGAGGAACTATCTTTACAGTTATATTTTCCTTGAAAAAGCTTGGACCAGATTACCAGGCGAAAAGTTGGATTTACTTCAAATTCTTTCACTGAGATTTTACAAATACATTCTTCCTCCTTAACTCTACATTTATTATATAAAAATGATGTCCGTATATTCATTCTGATCTGTTTGGTTATAAGATATTATCAATTTATACGTTATATAGAATAAATAACATACTAGAAGACTGCTTGCTAAGAAAAAATACTTGGATAGAAGACAAGTATAGCATGTTCAAAATTTCACTGTTTGTTAACTTTAATAATTCTGGATAATGCATTACTAAATGCTGTGCGCATTCACAATAGTTTCTCACTGAGTAATAACCAACGTCATGGTATTTAGTCTATAGTGATGAAAGAATACTAAAGATTAAGTTGTGATATGGACATTACGGAAAATAGATTAACATCGGAGTACACTTTGTTTTGATGTTACGTGATTGGATTTAATCACCAGAAAGACCTTTACCTAAGTTGTCTGTTGGTTAAAATCCATAAGTAAAGCAACAACGTTAGAAAGTTCATTTTCCTTTCAAGATTTAAAACCAAAAAGTCTGTCAATGTCTGAAAAGTCCCAATGACAAGCAGTATGAAAATGGATAACACTTACCAAATGCTCAACTTTGAGAACCCAATTGGGAGATACAGGCTGATTATTTTTTGTTTCAGCAAAATGAGATATTGTATTATCCTCCAAGTTCAAAAACTCACGACTTTCTGACTGAGTAACACCGATTTCTGGGATATCGTCATTGCACAAAAGACCGAAACCTATGCATGTGAAGAGGATATATTATAAAGAAAGAATCTAATACATTAAAAGTTAATCGATATATATTTTTAAGTATTCCGTCTACCTTCTGCAGATGAGATAGATAAATCTATTACTTACTTACGCCTGTTACTCCTCGTGGAGGAGCATAAACCGCCCACTGGCATTCTCCATTAAACTCTGTCCTGGACAATTCGTTCCACTTTTTATTCATCCTTTTGATATCTGCTTCCGATTCTTGGTACAATATCTACCTTGGTAACCCTCTTTTCCTTTTCTTTTCAGAATTCCAAGTTAGTGCTTGCCCCGTGATGCAGTTTGATGATTTCCGCAATGTATGTCTTATCCACTTCCATCGTCTTTTCCTAATTTCCTCTTCATCTGGAAGCTGGTTTGTTGTCTCCCGTAGTAGGCTGATGTTGATGGTATCCGGCAAACGGACATTATGTATCTTATGTAGACAATTGTTTACAAATACTTGTACTTTTATATGATGGTTATGGTAGTTTTCTTAGTTTCAGCTCCGTACAGTAGAACTGTCTTGACGTTCGTATTAAAGGTTCTGACTTTGATATTGGCTGACAGTTGTTTTGAGTTCTATATTTTCTTCAACTGTATGAATGAGGCCCTTTCAGATAAATCTATAGTCGTTAATAAAAAAAACCAGCTCACTTTTACTTGATTTAAGAGCTGATGATATTATCCAGAATGACAATAAAAATCTCTCAATTAAACTGCCAGTTCAGAAAATGCAATACAAATCTTCCTTGTCATTTTATAACAAGTTGTTTCTTGTGGTCACATGAATGCAGGTGCATATCGGCCTTTTTATCCTGTTTATATACATTTTTCACCCCAAATACGAAAAAAATAAATTGGTATAAACAATATACATTCAAATACCTTGTGTAATTGTTTCCAGCCAAAACGACAACTTGCTATCATTAGAAGCACGTTGAGATGAGACACTACTTCCGAGAAGATTACGATCGATAAGATCCTGGCGCCAACTACGAATAAATGAGTTATATGCTCGAGCAATTTCAAGATGATATGTGCTGCTGTTGCATGTAGCATCATTAATATGATTGTTTTGATTACTATTATTGACGATTTCTCTACTTGGCTGAGCATGCCTACGATAAGCGAACAGGTAAGCGATAGCTTTTGGACGCAATAAAGTTGCAGTGAAAGGATCAGTCACCAGTTGAATTATTTCTTTCTCCAAAAGTCTACAAGCTAAATCATGCAAAGTGAGTAGTTTAATGAATTCAAGTACTAGAATAAACCTTAATTCCAAAACACAACTGGTTATAGAAACACACAATAGACTTCATAGAAAATAACAAACAAACATTGGTGATGTGACATTAGGTCTCTTGAGGTACTAAAGCGAACTTATGTTAATTTTTTTCTCATGTTCATGAAGTAGATATCTCTAATTAGCTTTTTATTTAAGTATTAGAAAATAAATAAATACAGTCTATTATTCTTTTTAACCAGACGTTTTTAAACTGAAAAGTGGTTAGATCGGAAGATAAAAATTACGAAGCTAACAAGTTTTGTAGGTTGGAAATTTATTCTACGTTTAATAAATCAAGACTTTATTTATTATTGTTATACTAAGGCTGTATCCTGTAAAAACTATGCGAGGCGATGATTACTTATAAAGTTCAAGTTATTTCTGTTACAAAAGAGAATATTGAAAAACAATACACCATAGATTATTTCAAACTGCTGCCAAAATTTCAGGATCATAGTAGGCACCATAAAGTCAATAACATGGGTGATGGGTTCGTTTTTACACGCTTTGGGTCCCCACTAGAACTCACTGACGATTGCATAACAGAAACCTGAAGCATTGCTTTGACTGCTGTTGTGATCACTCCAAGTTCCGTCGATTAACAAACTACCAACGCTTTCCCCAGAGAAGGGAGCTTCGTTTATACTGTTTTTCTTTCTCCTCTACATTTGACGATGAGTAATCACAATGAAGTTACATGAATTCGTCTCGAGGTTGTAATGCTTACAACGCAGGAAGGCTCGCCATATTTATAACTGTTCTTTTACACGGTCTACTGTCATTGTTTGGTCAGATAACATCATACAGATGCAATCGCTTATACTTGAGTACAGAGGAGGAAACACAGTGACAGGATACAGCAGGGCTGCTAACAACAGGTTAGTTATCTATATATGGCTCAACCAGGCACATGTAGCAGTAACACGGCTCCCAGCAGACTCTCGATGACTTATTTGCCTTTCGTACTAGGATCTATTCTAAAAACCATCACATATGATGAGCTTGTAGCTTATTACAGAAAGTATGAAAGATTGCACTGAACGGATGGAGTAGAGTAACATCACACCGTGAATAATGTTCTGAAATAATTCTTATCATCATCATTATTATTAAACAACCTAGTATATACTACATTAAAATGTCATAGGATCGATTAGTAGTAGTACGTTTAAGAACATGACTGGTCGACTATAACTTGTAGCTTGCACATAATGGGGGACAGCTTCATTTCGGAATAAAAAGGTCTTATATTTTATTTATTCATTGGTAAAATCTTTGCTAACTTGCCAACTTAATTTACAGTAAAAATTATGTGGTATATCAGTAGTTTTTCTTCTAATCCAAAAAATGAGGATAATCCAATGAATTTTCCTTTAAACAACGTACTCACAAAAAGAACGAAAACTGGACAGTTAGGATATAAGTAGAAACAAAAGCCCACTGTAGCTATCTCATCGATGAACCCATATACAATACAACAACAAAAAGATATAAGCAATGATGAAAAACGAAAAGTGCACATTTTTAAGCGAGACAGTGTACTTTAACGAGATCTTTAAATAATCTCAATATTGATCGCTGTAATGCTACATGAAAAATTTCATTATATGAAACATACCGACTTCAATTTGTTGTTGGGAGATTAGGTCTTCAAAATCTTGAACTGAGTTTATTTGAATGGAATTTGATGCCAGCGTGCTTTGAAGCAATGCGTTGCTAGTTAATTCCGAACTTGCAGATAGTTGTTCGCTTGGATATTCACTGTCTATTTCTTTCGTGAACGAGGAAGTAGCATAAAGTTCTTCATCCGCTAAACGCCGTCTTTTCGCCAAAAATTCTTCTGTCAAATCGACTGGATCACTAGCAGGACGAAGAGGTGGAAACGCATTAAGAAGAATATTACGGGATTCAATTACAGATGCAGTTTCAGAATCTGTATTGATTTGTGTGATGATTTCCTCCAAACCAGGAAACATTTCAGGTGACAGCCAAACATCGGAAGAATTTGATTGCTTTGAAATCGGAAGTGGTACTGATGGATTAAAACTCCGTTTTCTAAGGCAGGCAAAGAAACGTTGAATCCAAGGGTTTGATATCCGTTGAACTTTTAAGCTAAATTTAGATAAAAATAATAAAGCGGTAAGTTAATAAAAGAAAAAGTATCTTATGCTTTACTGTCTACGGGCAAGTATTTATTTCTAGACTATGAAAAACATTGACGCTTTACAGTTACGCAATATAATATACTTGGTAAGTTTAACTTGAATTTGTGTGGTGTGTTGAAGAAAAGCTAAAACATCATCATGGTTAATATCCCATAGATATGTCACTATTAACATAAATATTATTGGTGGTAGTAGAGCAGTATATATGGATTTGTATATACATATTTGATAGCAGACCAGGTAAACCAACATGTACAACACTAATTCATAAGTACAAAAGATTTGTATCACAGAATATGGTTGATAGCTTGCATTTTGATGTGAAAAACTATTATTTTGAGTTAAAGAAACAGAACATAGTTAAAAATACGTGTGATCTCGATATTGATAATACATGGAACTGAAGATACAGAAAATAAATGCGCATAACCGGCGATAACAGAAATCAGATTATTTAAAATCTAATTTAGAAATTACAAAAGTGGAAAATTATCTTTATATTAAAGAGAAAACTTAGCGCCAATATAGTTTAAAAAGTATTCAAGTAATTTCACATTCCTCTTTCGAATATTTGTAAAAGCCAACTACACAGCACATGAGTTTGATTATTGAATAATTATTGTCCTATTAAACTTGAAACAAATAAATGAATGGTCAACTGTTACAAGATGCTTAGGATACTGTAGATCATAAAACAAAGTATACAAATGAAAGACAAGAATTCATTTGTATAAGTTTAGATGAAATTATTTAAAATTGATAAACATCTACCAATAAATCCACTACAGTAAATTAGTAACAGACCGTTTTATACGTTGCTGACCTTTGTTTTCAATGAAACCGTCAGACCAAATTTCCCTAAATATAGTACTTAAGATATGAATTCAAGGAGAAATCGAAACTAGTTTGTCCTTGACTAGAATATGTTCATCACATTGATTAAATGTATTGAGTATAATGATGGTGAAGCGATGAAAGTATGAAAAAACTACTTAGGGCCTAAAAGACTGAAGGTATCTTAAAAAATACTTGATGATGCGAGTTAAAAACAATTAAATGACTGCCAACTGAAAGATAAATATTATTCACTGTTTTTGTTATTGAATAATGCATATTTGTTGTACAGGTCATGTTACATAATAACCTTTCTGGACCTCACTACATCTGCAAAATGAAAAAAACTACGAAGAACTAAAGAAGTCTCTGTGTCAAAATGAACTTAACGAAGCTAAAGGATCAACTATAGGATAAAAAAGCTAGGAGAACTTCTTAGTGCTAAGATTATAGTCAGTAATACTTATAGTTTTAACCACTATATATTACACTAAATACAACACATGCTGAAATGTGTTTTGGAATTACGGTACGTTAAGATGTAACCCACTCAATCAAATCAAACCTAACTAAATTTCTTTATTTGAATAATCGTAAACAAATCTGTGGAAGTTAAAGTATACAAGAAAACTAGAAAAATCTTATAATATGTAGTTGATTTGAAAGTTAATAAAATCATATGTAAAATCACTGCTCACATCCTGTTTGATGAAGGATTTTTCACGTCGTTTTTGTCTTTCTTGTTGAGTTCACCACCATCATCATCATCATCACTTTCATCTGAATAATCTAACATCATGGAGTTAATAAAAGAATCCATAGCTGATAACTGTTCCTGAGATGGGCAATCTTTACGCAATTTCATAGTGCTTGAAGATTTAACAGAACATTCCGTAGTGGAAGTAGAAGGCTCACAGGAAACTGGTAAACTTGGGAGTTTCAGATTGCGAATATCTTCACTAAACGCTATATCAGTATACATGAGCGATATCTGGTCACCATGAATTCTAAAAGGTCAATCGAACAAAATTTTAAATGGTAATAGTATTCCATTGAATTTTTTGACTTTGTAAGTTTATGATAACGAAAAATCACGATGCATTTTTATTTTCGTATAACAACTGATGATTATGAATGAAACCCAAACTAACTTGGAATAACAACAAATAATCACTTCTATAATAAAGGACCGGATACATGCATCTACACTAACACTATCACAACATTGTAGTTAGTATGCTTATTAGCGCAAGCTATAGTTACATCTGTTTTTGAAATTATTAGCTAGGATAAGACCACTTGTTTAACATCTTGTCGTGAAAGTAAACAGAAATTTACAAACGAACAAACAGATGAAAAATCAGTTATTGCTTACTCTGGAGTTAAAACTCCTAGTCTAACGGCACTTGTTTGATTGTACACTCTCCGGACAAGAGCAACACCACTAATCTCATAAAGTGCTTGAGCCAACGCTGCCAAAGCTGTTGAACAGGATGGACGATTGGTTACATCATCTTCAGATTGTTTGACTGACTGAGCAACGAAAACCAACACACTTTCACCAGTGTAAAGATTATGGGGGATCTGGTCAAGGACGAATGAAAATGAAGATAAACACATACTCGAGTTACGTAGACAAATATAGGCAAACAGTTTCATTAACTGACAGTCTATTTGCCTATAATTACATACCTTACCCCACCGAATGCGTGGAATAGTGGGGATATATCCATGATAAAATGGCTTTAATTAATACATATATCCGTCCGAAGAGGTCATGAATCACAATCATAGAACAGCACATAGTAGACTGCGTATAATGTACCTTACAGCGATCCTCTTTAATGACTATAAAACCTATTTGTACCCACTTTTTGTCTCAATGCCACAAGTCACCAAGTCAGGGAATATGTCTCTTCATGTTTGAATGTAAGTTTGGTAAGAAACAAGTGACTTCTGGAACATAATTATAGAAGATTATGAATGTGACCGACTTGTCACAATAAATTCACTATTTAAACTGATGAAACGTCCAGGCGCTGAAATCAGTTAGTAACAAAATCTCAGGCGATAGTAAATAGTATTCCATAGGGTCAGATTATAAGTAAATGTCGCAGAGTAATGGATTGTATACGTTGTGAGAGCGATGATGTTAGTAAAAAAAAGATAAGAGCCAATGAAAGGAGAGAGATCGAAAAAATCACTGTTTTGTAGAGGGGATTTCTGTGTTATTACATTTGCAGAGTTGTACCTCGGGTATATTTGCAGGATGGAAATGACTATCTTTTAAAAGTGCTTCGAAGGGAAAAATATAGTGACTGTAGAGTCGAAAATTGGTTAGATGTATAATTTTGGCTATAATGGTATTTGAAAACTTTGCTCATTTTTTAAGGAAAAATAATGGTGACAGCCGAAAGGTGGAATTTACAATTCGCTAGATTGAGATTTACAAAACCATTTCCGCAGTATGGAAATGCGTAATAACTGAAGACTTTGAATGTTAGTTATGTCATTCACAGCTGTAGACATTTATAAACTACATGACGTTCAGTGTAAGGTAATTTCCATACGTTTCTAATTACAGTCGATGAGGGTCAAGTAAACACAAATAAACGCACTGTGACGGATAACAGCTGTTTTACAACTAAGTAGGTGTTTAGGAGAACATAAAAGTCAATGTCGCACAGTATTTAATCAACTTGTGCACACCCCAGCCTCCACGTAAGAGTCATCTCTACAGTTATAATATCATGTGCATTGAATAATAGTTCACTACACTTAATCTGGCAGGAGTTAGTAAGTGAGGAATGAATATACCCTAATGGGACACACCAACTCGTAACCACGTAGAAAAGATTACATTTAACTAAAAGCGAAGGATAGTTGCAGAAAATTACAGGTTAACTCCAGAGGTATTTAAGAATGGCGGTTCAGCTTTAATCAAGTTGACTAAAACATCAACTAGGGTTTGAGAGCTAAAAGTAATCCTATCTAATCAGTCTCGACCGCTAATCATCCCGGTCGGTAAAAAAAAAAAAGATAAGGAACCTTTTATGATAACAACAAAGAAATCGATTTGGCTCCTACAGTATCTAAAATACTAGAGACCCGGGTAGATTATCCCGATTTTAAACCTGTCAGCCGGTATACTGAGCAAATCTTTACTCTTTGAGAGGCTTAAAAGCACATATCGACGCCTGGCTAATAATTTTCTTGAATCTGAATACGGCATTTGACATCGTTGGTGGAGAGTTTTTGTAGCTGTTGTTGTCGGTGAAGTGTATCAGAAAAGTATAGATCTTTTCAAGGCTTTTTACTCGAATACTGAAAACAAAGCTAGAACTTATAGAGAACTGTTAACGAAATCGCTGAACTCAAGTAGCATTTGCCAGGTCACTTTCTTCATCAAGCTTTTCTTAGACTGATCTGCTTGGAAACTCACCCACTGACTTAATTTCATGGAAATACTGCAAGTTTCTGGTTCGTATTAACCATAGATGATAATGCGTAGGTTATTGATTACTAGTGAGCCGCTGGTAAATTAAGGATTACTTTATCCCAATTTACAGTAATTCATGAGGCATTATGAATAGGATTTTCGAAATAACCTTATTTAACGTTTCGTAATAGCTTCACGATGTCCTTAAAAATGGCTTACTGAATGTCAGGGAGAACCATCTCCTTGTCTATGCAACTTAATATACCTTGTGAGATTTTATCATATGGATATTTTAACAATGTCATTACCATATATTGAAACTTTTGCTGGAAAGAAATAGCCAATATTCATTTTAAAAAGTCTACATAAAGTGGATGCAACTCACTTGATTAAACAAAAAAACCTAGAAAGTACACGCAAAAGGGAGTAGGTATGGAAGACTCACATTGTCAGCACTCGTAAATCCAATAACGCTGAAACACTTTTCTGAAGGGGGTTTTATGGAGGCCATATCTTCTTCGCCAAAGGGGACTACAGTCCCACCATACCGATAACCTTTGTTGTAAACAGTAAAATAATTGAATAACGCACAATTGTGGAACAAACATATATAGGACGTAATTATTTGGAAACTAGAAAACGAATCAGTATCCTGAAGTTTAATGGTCTGACGAATCCATCAGTAGATAAGTTCACAAGTTAATTGACAAGTAGTTGTTCTGTATATTAACAGCGATGTTTAATCCCTACTAATAATTCTTGCTTAATCAATAGAGAGGATTATTCATCACACAGATAGAGTGGCTGAATTAGTAGTTCAGATGCGCTATCACAATCACAATATTAAAGTTTGAATATCTTATTTTAAAGTACCTGTAGACATGGTATTATTTCCACACTTCTGCCTATTGTCCGAAAAACAAACACATAACTCTGGACGTTCCAATAGCCCGTTGCACCGAAAGATTTTGTTCATATTAAGCTGGTTATATACCAGGATAGTAAAAAATTAAACTTATTACGGAACTTCTAGTACGTGTTATATAGTTTATTCAGATTAAAGTATGGTTAAAGAGTTGTTACTAAGCTTAAATTTTCGAGAACATTTTAAGTTAAATATTATTCGACATTAAACATTGTGAACATTTTACAGAAATCATTATTATTTTAACTTCATAACGTTTACCATAAAGTCCTTTTATAGAATTCTTACCTCGAGTAACTTCAGAAGAGTTTAAATCGGAAGGATCTGCACCTTGTGTACAATATTTTGTAACAGCGCGCAGTGGAAGAGAAGGATCTGGAGCGTACATTATCCTCATAGTTGGTGGATGAGCCTCCTTTATATGTGTATAGCCGACAACTGGGATAGTGATCGAATCGCCAATTTGCAAACTTACATTCCAACCACGTTGAGAAACGCTACGGGTTTCGAATATATTCAATGCAGTGACTGCATCACTTAAGAGAACAAAAATAAAAACATCATTTAGTAAAGGTTTGTCTCAGTACATACATACTACACCAAATACTGAAGGGACTAAAAAAAATTCTAGCCAATATATGAGCTTAAACTAGAACTGTCGAAGTTAAGGTATTCTTACGGTAAAAAGACGGCAGGGTCTTACATATAGAGAGAAGGTTGAATAACTAATGACTCAAGCTACTTCACAACGGAGTCAACAACTGAATTTCTCCCGTGGCGTTAGGGAATTTCCCGACAATTCACGTACTCATGTATTCGACCGAATGGCTTAAACACGGTGGTCCAGTTTCAGATACTAGATTGGATGAGAAATTAGCTAAAGTCTGGGGACATGACGTAATCTTATCTGATAGGTTTTGACCACTGACCGTTCTAGTTTATAGGAAGGCATAAAAATCCTGGTGATATTCACACAGGGACCAGTTAGACTAATATAGTGCCTAAAATACCACCCTCCATAATCATCTAGAGCTTAAATAGGGCTCGCGAAAAGCCAACTCTGGAAAACTAGGCTGACCTCAGACTTATATGTAGACCAAATATTCACCAGATCTCTAAGCACAAATATGCCAACCGCCGTTCAACTATCGTTGTATTTTGACCTCAAGGCAGCGTTCTATTGTATTGATAAATAGGTTTTATTGAAGGGTTTATCATCCCATCAGGTTCTGAACACGATGAAGAGCGTAAAGTAATCAAATCTAGGTTAAGCAAAAGTCTTAGGAACGACCGTGAGCAGTGGTGGGCAACGAAAGCAAAAGAGATGGAAAAGGCGGCGGCTATAGGGAACACAAGACAACTCTACAGACTAATAAAAGAAACTGGAATTAAAAAGTCAAGCGTAAGTCAGACTATTCCGTAAAAACACGGCACTCTCATCTGCTCGCAGTCCAGACGTTTAGAACGATGGGCGGAACATTTTAGAGAACAGTTCAGCTGGCCTTCAGCTACTCTACAACTACCCTCCATTCCCAGACAGTATGAATGGAACATTGAAATAGGTCCTCCAACTCTAGCTGAAGTTCAAAAGGCTATAGTTAATCTAAAATGAGGAAGGGCAGCTGGTCCAGATGGATTAGCTCCAGAAGTCTTTAAGGATGGTGGTCTAGTTTCAGCGACTAGTTTGACTAATATTATATAAGAAAGGGTCAAAATCATCCTGTGACAACCACAGAGGGATTAGTTTAACTAATATAGTATCTAAAATACTAGCCTAGATAATTTTCGAACGCCTAAGACTCGTGAACTGCAAACACCTGAAAATCAGGCTGGCTTCAGACTTGGTCGTGGATGCATCGACCATATATTCACCATTCATCAGGTTCTAGAACACAGGCATACTGACCGGTGTCCGATAATGGTGGTCTTTCTTGACTTAAAAGCAGCGTTCGACTCTGTTGACCGAGAGGTTCTGTGGCAGTGTCTGTCATTGAAAGGCGTACCTCAGAAGTACATAAACATTGTGAAGGCTCTTTACTCGAACACTACTAGTCGGGTCAGAGCTTATGGAGAACTGTCATCTGCTTTTGCAACCTCAAGTGGTGTCCAACAAGGCTGTTCACTATCTCCATTTTTGTTTAACTTCACCATAGATCTACTGATGGAAATAACGCTCTCATCGACTGAATTCTCGGGCATTGATCTCCTACCAGGATGTCCACTTATCGACTTAGAATACACAGATGACATAGTCCTGTTTGGTGAAGACGCTGATGAAATGCAGTCTTGTGGTAGCACTGAGCAACAATGCCAGAATGTTTGGGATGCGCTTCTCTCCCTCTAAATGCAAGTTGTTGCTTCGGGACTGGTCTGAGTCAACACCTGAACTAAAGATAGGGAGTGAAGTAGTCGAACGCGTTGACAACTTCACTTATCTCGGAAGTCTGATCAGCCCTAATGGGTTGGTGTCTGACGAAATCTCAGCACGGATTCGAAAAGCTCGTTTGGCCTTTGCCAACTTACATCTATGGCGAAGGCGAGATATCCGTCTATCAATTAAGGGACGAGTATATGCGCGGCAGTTCGTTCCATCCTTCTATACGGCTGCGAAAAATGGCCATCAAGAGCTGAAGATACTCGTATGTTACTAGTATTTGACCACAGATGCCTTAGAAATATTGCTGGTATCTGCTGGGATCACCGGGTAAGTAATAGTGAGGTTAGACACATAGTATTAGGGAATAATGGTAAATCAGTTGATGAGGTCATGAATCCTCATCGACTGAGATGGTTGGGCCACGTATTGCGTATGCCTGAACACCGATTACCACGACGCGCAATGCTCACTGGTGTTAGGGATGATTGGAAGAAAGTTAGGGGCGACCAAACCAAAACGTGGCATCAGTGCTTGAAGTCATTAACTTCTGGTCTGAGCCATGTTGGTAGATGAAGACTGCCTGGTTGGGGTCCGCGTGACTATCGTAACCAATGGTTGGAGACTCTTGGTGACATGGCTCAGAATCGATCACAATGGCGTAGATGTATACACTCTCTGTCTTCTTTTAAGCTAAGAGATTAAAATTATTTCATATCTTTCTTTCTACGAACCAATTCTTTCTTCTTGTACTATATCCTTATACACACTCTTTCTTTTATATATTACCACCACTGAATTAACTACATCTATGAATCCGGTGTTCATCTTGTTGTGCTAATGCGGTATGGCAACTTAGACCGATGCATATATGTGCCTGGTCCTACGTTGCAGCTGACTGACTGACTTACATTTTAGTTGATCTCTTACCGTGAGGTTCACTGGTTTACTTAGAATATGCACATGATACAGTTATTTAGTGAAAAAGCTGACAAAACATAGTCTTATGACCGCCTTTGAAAACAATGCAAGCATGTTTGGGGTGCTTTCTTCTTCATCTAGATAAATGCTGCTTAACGACTAGTCTATCTAAACTAAATCGACCCCTTAATTTATATTTCTTAATCTTAACGTTGCAGTAGAATTTCGCATTACGAGCTTTATTATAACCCAATTACTGAACATAGTCTTACGTAGATGAAGAGTCGGTGAAGACTACTTGAAGTAGTGTTTGACATGGCTTTACCAACTCTATAAATCAAATGAAAAGACCTCTCATTATAAATAAATAATATATTTGTAATATCCCAATGAGCAGAAAATTAGATTTTCTGACGTCACTTCTTCAGATAATAAATAACCAAATTAAAATTAATCCAAGTTTAAATAGTACATAGTATACATTAAAGTATATACACTAAGTCACCAAACGTCAGGAAATCTAATTTTCTACTCATTGGGATATTACAAACATATTATTTATTTATAACAATCAACCCAATGCTCAATTTATTCGAAATTATCAGACCTCTCATTACTTTTTCTGAAGATAAATTCAACTTTTTTTAGTTCGACAGGATGAAATAGCTAGGAAATTTCGATATTCACAGATTTCCTTATGATTCGCACTATGAAGACCACTCAACACTTGGTTGCTTCAATACTAAGTTTTGATAAATTGTCATTCTAGTTACTTCTGCTTCTCGTCATGGTTGAAGGATTATATTGAACTGTTTACGACTCATGAAAGCACCACTCTATTTATTTTTAAGAAATAGATTATGCAACACTACACTAATACCCTTGAACTGCTGTCCTCATATCTTAGTTGAATACTCATGAGCTTTGATAATTTTGTGCTTTCACATTACTTCGAGTAGTAGACGCAACTTATGTAAAGGATCTAGAAAGTACAGGGATATTCCATAATTTTCAAAATTTAAAAAACGAAAATTTGTGCCACTGTGATTCATTTTGAGACGCACTACTAAGCGGAATTCCCGCCGACTGGTTTTTGCTACTCCGAAGGCGTTATTCAAAGGGTCTACAAAATGGGAAACTCGAATGAACCACTAACAGATTTATAGACTCGTATGGTGTTTTTTATGCTACTGTCCAACCTAATCTTGCTTCGACAAACATCCTACGTCGAAATAAACAGCGACTTTCTATACATCTTTCATGACCAAACCATCTGAGCAGCTACAAGTTCATAATTCGATTGTTTAATTAAACCTTTCTACAATAATGTACCTAACCTCATTACTTACGACTGAATGGTTCCGCTAAACACAAAGTTTGGTATGTAAATATCTAGGACTAAACAACTATTAGGTTCAAACCGGACAAATAGCGCTACAAACCTACCTAAAGTCATATGATTCTCCGTTTAGTTGATCCCAGAGTTCAGCTAGAAAAGAAATGGAGGGTCTAGTTTTTGGTGAAGGATGGAGGTGATGAGAAACGGCATGAGATGGTCCAGGTTCATCTCGGTTTTCAGGTGAGATATTAGTACTCTTTTTCAAGTCACAACCAATCAAGCTGAATTTAATACCTGAAGATTGGAGGCTTTCAGATACCCTGGAGACATCAGAATCGTCAACCGAACCATATAAATTGCTGACAAGCAACAAGTGCTTTTCTTTTATGTTTCTTTTACTCCTGAGAGTTGGCAATACAAATAAATTATGATTACTTGCAACGATTAAACAAGTGGTCGGCTCCTACCATTAGTGCATCAACAACTATATATAAATATTTAATTCATTAAACAGTCTACCATCTCCTGTCGAGAGTGATAATAAATTTGGATCTAGAGATTCCAAGACCTTCCAACTTATAGGAGCGAGTTCAAAAACCAAACATATATTTTGAAAACTTCCTTCTTCATCAGCTAAAGGATTGTCAGTAGCATCAGAGCCGCAGAGAATAAGTGCAACTTCATCTTTTGATTCGGCGAAAAACTAGATAAAATGTGACAGGTTGACGGCAATCTTTCGGACTTACTTTTTTTTCCAATAACAGCCTTACGCACTCAATAGCTTCTCTGAAATTAGGATTCATATGAATTCCTACATCAAGTACAACTCCAAGAGCAGTCTAAACACTGTGACAAACAAAACCAGCTTACTGCCATTGTATCTGTTACGGCTCACTTTTAGCTTGCAGGTACCTCGGGTGCTAGGGGGGGGGTGCAAAGCAGCGTGAAAGAGAAAAGTTGGATAGGAATAGAACAAGAGAAAAGGCAAGTCAACGAATTAGTACCCAAACAGAATGTACTTAATCTGAATGAGTGGACAAAACCATACTATTCTAATCGCCCTGAGGTCATTTAAAATCAACCTAACCGGTGTTAGGTACTAGAACAAACTTAGAATTCCTGTTGTGGATAATTGGTGGATGGAACCCATGATTTTCACCATATTTTGTATTTTGAAATGAATGGACGGTCATTCACGTGGAACAAACTACTAGTAAGTACGTTGGTGTGACGAGTACTAAGGTTGGATGCTAGTGTTTAGTAGTATCAGAATAAAGAGTTAAGGTTTGGAAGGGTTGAGAGTTAGGTTTCGGGAAATTTAAGAATGAGAATTAGGGTCTGATAGGGTTGTATAACTACATATTCCGGCCTAAATTACTCCTATTCGACCCTAATACGTTTGTTAAATGTGATAAAACTACAAATCGTTTGCACTTTTATCATTTTTCTGTAGTTTAGAGCTTTTCCACAAAAGCTGAATTCTGACTAACTATTTTTAATCGGTTATCCTTAAAATCTCCTACGGTTGTTCGTATAGTATGGTCCTACCTGAAAGTGATTGACAGCAATCAGCTGTATCGTGGGATGACGACAGTAAATCCTCAGTATAATGACATACAGTGCCCTTGACTCATATTTGGCGCATTTTCAGTTTCAGTTTCAGTTTGGAAAGGACAGGAGGCTTGATGGCCTGTGTTAGTCTTGGTAATTGTGTTCTCTCAGTTGATCCAACTTTCTTTTGAAAGAATCTACGGATGGAGCTTCAACCACGTGTTGAGGTAATGAATTCCACTCGTTGATGATTCGATGGGAAAGTCGATAATCAGCTGACAAGTAATTTTTTCTGGGCTCGTGAACTTTTTTGGAGTGTCCTCGTAAATTCTCTGTTTTGGAAGACAGGAAAAATGAGGGCATATCAGGTGCAAATTTATCACTAAGCAATTTGAAAACTGTAATCAAGTCGCCTCTAGTTCTACGATATGACAAAGGGAATAGGTTTAGCTTGGCCAGTCGAGCATCATACGGAAGCTTATTTAGCAGATCAAAGACATCGAGTTCAATAATGGTCACGCTATCCAGTGCATGTGTGTGGGGGGTTTGTATGCGCTGACTGGAAGGGTGCTTCTGTGGTATATACATTGCTAAAGTAGTTTGAGAACACTTGAGCCTTACCAAAGTCATCTTCCACTAATGATGTTTAATGGGGTTTCATATCTAGAAAACACTGTTGCCTTCAGGTAGGAACATGGGTATTTTTAAAGACCAAGAGAGAAATATTAGTCTTCAGTAATAAGGATAGGAAGTTTATCGACCTATATTAATCCTTGCAGTTTGTGACACTGTGGTGGCCCAGTCTCGTTTTGAATATATTTACAAAAGGCATTGATATTACGTGTTCTGATAGAGAACTCCACTAATTCACTATTCGGTGCGAGAAACTAAACTTTAAACGTAAGCGATTTGACCTCGGTTTCTGAACTTTCTTCGAATGTCCTCTCAAATGATCAGTCCTAGACGTAAGTAAAAGATAAGACATGTTAATACCAAGGTCGTTGTTCAGTATATGACAAGTCAATATTAGGTAACGGAAATAAGGTGGGGTGTCTTTGTCTGTCTCCATAAGATAGGCTAGATAGGTCTTTTACCGTATTAGTCCTTCGTCGTTGGACTCATACTTGAAACAAGGACTCACTGCTTGAATCCCACATTCAAAATGTGGTCGCACGAAAGTCGGGTATAACAATCTAAAGATTTCTTCATCTAAATACTGGAAAGACCTATGAATAGACCATAATACTCTATAGCCTTTTGCAGCAGCAGTCTTAGAGTGTTAATTTGGAGATCACTTCTTAGTATGATTCCTAAATCTTTATAGTTTCTTACTTTGAGTACCACGAATCCACGTATTGTGTATTGATACGAATCATCGTAGTTATTTAGTTGCATCGCCACACTCTTGTTATGATTTACTTCTAGTGACCACCTGTCCATCCGCGCCACCAATGAGTTGAGATCATCCTGTAATACTATTCTATCGGACATACTGTGTATGGGTTTCCAACTTTTCATGTCATCAGTGAAGAGTATAACGGATGATTTTGCTGCGGTTGGCAATTCATTTACGTAAAGCAAAAACAGAAGAGGACCGAGGAACTTCACTTTTTGCAGGTACACACGAGGAGAGACCCCATTAACCTTACCCTTTGTCTCCTGTCGTGGAGAAAGTTACTTATCCAATCTACGACTGTATAATGGATTCCAAAGCATTCCACTTTGAACTTAAGACCAGGTTTGGAGACCTTATCGAAGGTCTTACTTAGATTTATGGAGATCACATATACAGGAAAATTCCGATCTTTTGCCGCAGCCCAATCCTCTCTTGTAATGAGAAGATTTGTCAAGCATGATGGGCCTCTTCGAAGACCATGTTGTTCCCCGGAGAAAAGATTATGCCCCTCGGTATACTTCATAAAAGATACACGAATGATTTTTTCCATCAGTCTTACAACACTAGTTAAGCTGACGGGTCTATAGTTGCTAACTAAATCCCTACTCCCAGCCTTATACAGTGGACTTATTGTCGCGTCTTTACAGTCTCTGGGCAGTCTGGACTGCCTCAAAGACATGTCAAACAATATCGCTAATGGTTCAGCGATTACATCTGATATGGCTTTCATAATCCTAAGATGAATATCATCAAGACCACTGGACTTATCAGGTTTCAAGTAGCCCTAAATCAGTACCTTTCTCAATGACCACAGGATCCATCAGCGATCCGCCACGATTACAATGAATCGTTGGACGTTCTTCATTACTGATAGAAAACACCTTACTGAAAAATTCCGATAAAGCTTCAGCTTTTTCTGTATCATTTCTTGTCAAGATTAACGAATTTTCTTGTATCAGAAGTGATGAAATTCCATCACTTCTCTAAGTTCGCCTTTTTATATATGAGAATAACAGTTTCGGGCTATATCTAGAGTCCTTAACCAATTGTTTTTCATATGATTGCTCAGTCTTACTTATTAACATATTCCAGTGCTTTTTCCTTCTTCTAAGAAGTTTCTTGACTGGTTTAGTTATCCATGGTGGACTGTAATTCGGTCTACGCGGTACCAGGTATAGTATGAACGATGACTTAACTAAACTAAGCTCACCTTTAAATACAAACTATGCTTCTTCAACTGGTAAGCTAGTATCTACGAACCAATCTGTCTTAGCAGCGCACACCTGAATGGCTGATATATTAGCTCTCCATATATTTAAGCGGGGTGTAACCTGACCGTATATCATGTCTTTAGTTCTAAACATGAATGACAAAACAGCGTGATCGCTGTTCACTAACGGTGGAGGAATATTTAGGCCTACAATATCCTCAGTCTCATGAGTGAATACCAAGTCCAACAGAGAAGAACCTTGATTAGCACCAAAACGTGTGGGTTTGGGTACGTAGTGTACCATTACTGATATCAGGAGCCTACTTTCAAAAACGTTCATAGATCCTTCTGTTGTCATCTCAGTTCAACTAATATCAGGTGCACTGAAGTCTCCTAATACCAAGCATCTGCTTTTTGCACTCCATAGCTGAATGTTCTCTAAAATAATGTCATAAGCTGAGCGGATTAGGCAGCGATAGATGACACCGAGTATAAATGTACAGCATCCGATAGCGGGCTTGTAACAAGTTAGGTCGATTGGTTAAGAGCTGACCTCAAACAACTAAGCATATGTCAAAACAACATAGTTCAAGTACTCATTCACTTCTTTATTTTGCATAGGCATTATATTTTTAATTGTCTTTTTACATGCATAGATCGATTTACCAGATTCCTTATAGCCATCCTGATAGCGGACATCACAGCGGAAACAGTGGTGAAAGTTTTGACGAAGAACTGGGTAACCATTTTTGGTACGCTCATAACAATAACGACGAATAGAGCAGCGCAATTTGAATCCGAACTATTCAATAACTTGGCTAAACTTCTAGGCTCTAATAGGATACGCTATACTGCATATCATCCTCAGGCTGATGGGATGGTAGAACGTTTTCACCGTCAGCTAAAGACCGCTTTTATATCCCACTCAAACCCCAATCAGTGGACAGAATTCCCACCGTTAGTTATGTTGGGAATACGAACATCTGTCAAAACTGACGCACAGTGTTCAGCAGCGGAAATGGTTTTCGGAACTACTCTGAGACTACCAGGTGAATTAATTAATCCTAATACTAACAGTCAAAAACTTAATTTAGAAAATTTCGTTGATCACTTACGGGACCATATGTCCAAACTTAAGCAAATTAATACTCGTGAACAATCGCGAGCCATATATGTATCTAAGGATCTAAGCAAATACGCGCACGTCTGGATATGATGTGACAAAATAAAAGCACGGCTTAGCCCTCCATTTGAAGGTCCTTTCAAAGTCGTCTGAAGTAAAGCTAGATATTTCATGATAGAAAGACATGGAAAAACGGACTCCGTAAGTATTGATAGGTTAAAACCGGCTTATCACGGTCATGAACCACCATACGTGTTGTTATACCACTTACCTGACAAAACAATTACGGAATCGACATGTAAAACGGTAAATCTTTACAAGTGACTAAAAGGGTTATATGGGCACATCCAATTAGTCAGTCAAGAATATTGACAGTTTTGGCTGCAGAATAAAATCTAACCACGTATCTAGTAAGATCCTGCGTTTATTTCCATGTAAAGATTTTTTCTCATACGGTCCCACCTACTTTATTTAACTAACAAAAGCATTAAAAAAATGTAGTTTGCGATATTGTACTATCCACAACTCCCCAGATCTTTTACTTTCGATATATGTGTGTTTTAAAATTTTTTAGAATGCTGGATACATAAGCTAGGTATTCCTAAACAATTGCTGAGTGATAGTAGTCGAAATCATAAAAGGGGTCAGTCACATCAGAGAACGACGAATCTTTAACTAAGGTGAGTGATGTAAACAAGCTGCGCCTGCTGAATTAAACTTTCTTAGATTTCACCAATAATAGTAGACAATTAAAAAAGCTGGAGGGAAACGTTGAACATATTCCCTGTGAGCATGTACTATGAACCCACACAACTAACTTTGGCAGTAACGGCGATTTCAAAAAGCAACCCAGGCGAGTCTTATTATTTCCTTTTTTGGTTAATTGACTATGTTTGTGGTATTCACTATACATATATATATATATTCACTTGGACTGGCCATATACCATATGAACTAATTCTAAAACATTTTCGGTTGAAGATATGTTCAGTAGCCTGATACGATCGATACTACTATTAATAAGTGGTTTTTAAACAAAACATTTAGATCAAACCATGGTCAAGTACTTATTAAGATTCTTATTATCATTTTTTCATGTTAAGGAAGTTTATGCAATAACTTGACCAGTTTTCCTGCAGCAGGCTTTTAAATATAATCATATAATCCAGTTTATTGGCACTGTGGTGGCCGGTGCTTGGTATATTCCTTAAACTCCGTATACAGTTCGTCTCGGTGACCGTCACTAAATAACCCTCCAACGGTATATTAATCGAAAGGCGAATACGAAGTGTTAATTACGTGTATTATGGGACCACACACAGATATCCAAAATTACAGATGCGTTAAGCAAGCATGAAATAGTTGTGCCGAAAGGCAAACAGG